AAAGGTGGGGATGTAGCTCAGTTTAATATTGGTTTTTTATTTATTTACAAATGTAGTCAACTGCGGAATCGGTATGATCATATGTTGCAAGACTAACAGTGATTCGGCGGGAAAAAGCATGTTTAAATTAAAGGTTGAGGGGAGCTGCTAAAAGGGAGGGGACCAGTAAAGTAAACGGCATCAAAACCCACCAGAGAGGAGGAGAAACAGAGGGAGGAATAGCAATGGCCGCGCCGCAAGACGGGGGAGACGAACAGGACTCAAGGTAGAAACCGGCCAGACGCACCGCAGCACACATAAACGTGCAAGCACAAATACCGAGTAACATGCCAGGTTAGAAAGGCGGAAAATATGGATGCGAAGGTGGGATTCGAACCCACGACCTCTCGGCATACTCACTGCTTCCGCATGAAGCTCTAACCAAGTGAGCCATTCAAGCATCCATGGGGATGTAGCTCAGGCGAAAATTTATGGTTGTTTATTGATTACAATGAATTAGCAATGTAAAAAATATAGACTTATATGCATGCGATCTTTGGATCATTAGTTGCAAGTCCTGAGAAGCGACGTACAGCAAAAAAGCTTAAATTGATAGTTTGATCTCCATGCAGGAACAACATGCAAGTGTCCAGAAAAGGGAAAAAAGGTCCTAAACTAAAAACTAAACTGGTAAAAAAAGAAGTACAGGCAGGAAAAAGGAGTAAAACAAGTGAGATAAAAGGGTAGAGAATAAGAAGCTATGGTGTATGAGACATGCAATTGAGGATACCTCGATGTTCAGACAGCAGCACAGACAAAATAAACCCACAGACCTCAGTGGCACAAAAAAAGCAAGAAAAAAAAGGAGAAAACGAGGCATTTGCATATAACAAAATGAGTAGAGAGACAAGGACCAAACGAGAAAGAAGCAGAGAAGGAGGACAAAGTGAATGCAGACACTACCACAAAGGCAGCAGAAATAGAAACAATGAGAGTGGGAATGAGAGAGCAAAACGATTTTAACAACAAGGTGTCAATCAGTTATCAGAAGACTCTGACATTTCAAGATCCTTGGTAGCAGAGAGAGTTGGGGAGACAGCATAAGCCAAGAGAGAGGCAGTTTCAGCATCATGATGCAAGAGGTAGCCAAGATAACTCAAACGTTGTTTCTTGGCTAAACGCTCTTGATCAGAGGATCGGGATGGTGGTTTAGCAGCAGCAGAGGAGGAGGAACGAGCAAGCATTTCTTCTTTCAAAATGGCATCAAATTGGGCTTGGTTGATGCGATCATACAAAAGAAAAGAACGAGCAACAGAAACACGGACAGAGCGACGGACAAAAGACAGCGAACGAAGGCAGCGAAGGTTTTCGACCTCAATGGCCTTTTGGACACGCAGATCACGAGAGAGAGAAGCAAATTTGGGATCTTTGAGATTGACTGGATCACATGGATCAAAGTCAATCAACGGAGAAGAGCCACGACCATGTAGATGCATGGCTTTGGTGAGGGTGAGAACATAGTCGTTGTGAACAAGGAAAGAAATCACATTCTGTACAGGATATTGAATATCCAGCACACGAGAGTTATTCAATCCTACGCCTTGAACAAGGCGACGCAGCTCAGAAAGACGACGGCGGACAGGAGTAGCATAGTACACAAATTGATAACCAGATGGTATATCACTTTGAGGAGCAAAAAGACGAGCAAGAGTAGCGGATGCCTTGGTGGCAGATGGAGGAGGACGAGCAGCAGGCTTCTTCTTACGCTTTGCACCTGCATTGGATGCAACGACGGCAGCAAAAGATGGTTGTGCTGTAACTTGAGATTGGGAGTAGCTGGGGGTAGACTTGGAGGCAGATGTTGTTGATGGTGGTGTTGGAGTGTTCGACGATACAACGTCTATGGTGGTAAGAGCAACATTGGTGGTGGATTGAGCGTTGATAGCTGCCAATTGAGCCGCAAGGGCGTCTCTAGCAGCCTCTGATTCAGCCAGGGCTGTTTTCAACTGCGCAATTTCAGCATGGGCAGATTCTAATCTGCTCAAACGATGTCTGACCTCAACCATAAAGGTCGACAACGCAGTTTGATCAGTGGCCGAAGCAGGTGGGAGGGAAGTGAGACCAAAGTCAATCGAGTTGGGGTCAACATCGATCGAAGATGTGAAATGAGATGCTTTGGAGAGGTCTTGAGGTTGCATTTTCTTTGCTTTTAAATGTTGAGAGATATCAGCAGCAAAGAAAGGTGGAGAGAGGGTTGAAATTGGCCTTTTTTGACCGGACGAAAGGGTGTCAGCAGGTGTAATCTTATTAAAAGTGTTTTGCTCGGTTATGGTATTGATATAGCAAGTACTTGATGAGAGATGATGGGTTATAGGAATCTTCGATATAATTCGGGCTATGAAAGTATATAAAAAATTCTTTAGCGGAAAGAAAGGTGGGGGATGTAGCTCAGGCGAAAATTTATGGTTGTTTATTGATTACAATGAATTAGCAATGTAAAAAATATAGACTTATATGCATGCGATCTTTGGGTCATTAGTTGCAAGTCCTGAGAAGCGACGTACAGCAAAAAAGCTTAAATTGATAGTTTGATCTCCATGCAGGAACAACATGCAAGTGTCCAGAAAAGGGAAAAAAGGTCCTAAACTAAAAATTAAACTGGTAAAAAAGAAGTACAGGCAGGAAAAAGGAGTAAAACAAGTGAGATAAAAGGGTAGAGAATAAGAAGCTATGGTGTATGAGACATGCAATTGAGGATACCTCGATGTTCAGACAGCAGCACAGACAAAATAAACCCACAGACCTCAGTGGCACAAAAAAAGCAAGAAAAAAAGGAGAAAACGAGGCATTTGCATATAGCAAAATGAGCAGAGAGACAAAGACCAAACGAGAAAGAAGCAGAGAAGGAGGACAAAGTAAATACAGACACTACCATAAAGGCAGCAGAAACAGAAACAATGAGAGTGGGAATGAGAGAGCAAAACGATTTCAACACCAAGGTGTCAATCAGTTATCAGAAGGCTCTGACATTTCAAGATCCTTGGTAGCAGAGAGAGTGGGGGAGACAGCATAGGCCAAGAGAGAGGCAGTTTCAACATCATGATGCAAGAGGTAGCCAAGATAACTCAAACGTTGTTTCTTGGCTAAACGCTCTTGATCAGAGGATCGGGATGGTGGTTTAGCAGCAGCAGAGGAGGAGGAACGAGCAAGCATTTCTTCTTTCAAAATGGCATCAAACTGGGCTTGGTTGATGCGATCATACAAAAGAAAAGAACGAGCAACAGAAACACGGACAGAACGACGGACGAAAGACAGCGAACGAAGGCAGCGAAGGTTTTCGACCTCAATGGCCTTTTGGACACGCAGATCACGAGAGAGAGAAGCAAATTTGGGATCTTTGAGATTGACTGGATCACATGGATCAAAGTCAATCAACGGAGAAGAGCCACGACCATGGAGATGCATGGCTTTGGTGAGGGTGAGAACATAGTCGTTGTGAACAAGGAAAGAAATCACATTCTGTACAGGATATTGAATATCCAGCACACGAGAGTTATTCAATCCTACGCCTTGTACAAGGCGACGCAGCTCAGAAAGACGACGGCGGACAGGAGTAGCATAGTACACAAATTGATAACCAGATGGTATATCACTTTGGGGAGCAAAAAGACGAGCAAGAGTAGCGGATGCCTTGGTGGCAGATGGAGGAGGACGAGCAGCAGGCTTCTTCTTACGCTTTGCACCTGCATTGGATGCAACGACGGCAGCAAAAGATGGTTGATTTTCTGGAGACAAATTGGTGGCAGAGGTAGCATTGGTGCATGTAGTTGATGCTGATGCTGTTGTGGTGGTAGTAGTGACAGGAGGTGGGTGGGATGATGATGGTTTGGGAGCCAGGCTAGTTGTAGTACCAGTAGCAGCTGCAAGTTGGGCTTCGAGAGCGTGACGATCAGCTTCAGACTCTGCCAGGGCTGTTTTTAACCGCTCAATTTCGACATGGGCGGTTTCCAGACGAGCTAAGCGATTTCGAACCTCAATCATAAAGGTTGAAAGTTGCTGTTCACTCGCTGGAGAGGCAGATGGAGGAGTTGTTGTTCCAAAATCAGTTGAAATGTTGATGATATCAACTGATGTTTGTGGATGATGGTGCTGAGAGGTTGGCGAGAGTGTCATTTTCTTTGTTTTCAACTGTTGAGTGAAATCTACAGCGAAAAAAGGTGGAGATCTTGAGGAACTTGGCCGTTTTTGACCTGGAGAAAGAGAGGACGCAGAGCTTAATGCCTGGTTTACTTTGGTGTCGTCTGGAATGATGTTCTTGCTATGTATTGTATGGAATTGTAGAGTTGGGTCAATTTTTTCAATATTACTGGGCTTCAATGTATTAAAAAAATTGGTTAGCGGAAAGAAAGGTGGGGATGTAGCTCAGTTTAACGTTGATTTTTATTATATACATGAATTCAATGGACACTCGATGGGAGCATTAGCCTAGAATTCTAGAAACAAAAGAGTAGCAGGTACAAAAAACCCTTATGGGGACACTAACTAAGAAAAAGGGAAAAGGAAAGTGTGGTAGTGGCAAAGGAGCGGCATGAATACTGGTATTGTTGATTTGATCTGGAGGAATGACCAACGGATGGGAACTTTGATAATTACTTGCCACCGTGGCATCGCACCGAGAAAGCAAAAACAACAAACGTTCATCAATGAGCAGAAAACCAGAGGGGATGTAGCTCAGTTTAACGTTGATTTTTATTATATACATGAATTCAATGGGCACTCGATGGGAGCATTAGCCTAGAATTCTAGAAACAAAAGAGTAGCAGGTACAAAAAACCCTTAAGGGGACACTAACTAAGAAAAAGGGAAAAAGGAAAGTGTGGTAGTGGCAAAGGAACGGCATGAATACTGGTATTGTTGATTTGATCTGGAGGAATGACCAACGGATGAGAACTTTGATAATTACTTACCACCGTGGCATCGCACCGAGAAAACAAAGCAACAAACGTTCATCAATGAAGAGACTATCTAGCAGAGAACCATAACAACCCTGAATCAAGATCAGCAGGGATGACAGCCAGCGGATGCACTAAACAATCAATGGCATGAAGCAGAGCAAGCAAAGCAGACCAATAAGATGGAGGACCATCAGAGGCTTTCACAGGTAAACAATTAAGGGCATAGTCTATACGATGAATACCAGGAGGAGCCACAGGCAGAGCATCGAGAAGTGTTCGATCCAGAGCACGGCATGTCAGAAAGTGATTTCGAGATATAAAATCACCCATCACGCACGGACACTCTTCACGCATGTTTGTGAAACGTCCAAGACGCCAGCGAACAAGGCGACTTCGAGCAGATCGACCAATTGGTAGGTACAAAATGGGATCTGGACGAGATACAGAACGACGACAAGCACGGAGGAGGGTCTGGGTACCAGAAACAGCAGCAGCAGCAAGTTGATGATCTACTTGATCTTGCCAATACGAATCAAAGACTTCAGTAAGACCAGCAGTGGTGAATGGCGGCGGATCAGGTAGTGTCAGATACAACGGGTTTTGACAAATAAATCTGTCTAGACGAGTGTACAGTAATCCACGACGAAGCAGAACCAACAAGCAATCATCAGGGAGAGTATCAGCACGAAGAGCATAACGTGTTGCCAGGACATTATATCGATGCTTCATGCTGGGAATACAGGTCAAATGTTTGGCAACATTGTACCATGTACTACCAACAAACATACCAACCAATCGATTTTGCAGAGCATCAAGAGCCTTGAAGTCACGGAAAGAGAGATGCGATATAGCTAAGCCGTATTCCAGCTTGGGTCGAATAAAGCTTTTATACAAACGAGCACAAAGCAACAGAGAAAACCCATTTCGATTGACACCAACCGAATTCAACAATGCCATTGTCTTGATAGCACCAGAAGCACGCAGATTGAGAATCCCAGGGGCGTACAGACCTTTATATCTAAACGGCATACCAAGATACGTGAATTCCTCTACCACAGGAAGAGGTTCACCGTATAGAGACAATGGATGACGAGTAGAGGCAGTAGGAGCACAAAGTACAGCACATTTTGATGGTTTCCATCTGTAGCCAAGAGAGAACGAGTGATCTGAAGCGACATCCAACATGGTTTGCACATCAGTACGAGAGCCAAATATGGCCACATCATCAGCAAAGAGTAAACTATTGATATGAACAGGATGCATTCCGGGTGGAGATACCATAGTACCACGGTTGACAGCAGCACGAAGAACAGCAGGCAGAGAGTTGATGTACAGAGAGTACAAGTGCGGACTGAGCACTGAACCTTGGAGTACACCAGTAGCAGGCGAAAAAGGGTCAGAGTTGTGGTTTGCAATCAGTACAGAGACTAGTACATCATCGAACATATTGATCAATAAACTAAGGATTGGACGAGGTAGTGAAGAATGAGCAAGAGCATCCCAAATAACGTTGCGATCCACTGTATCGTATGCAGATTTGATGTCCAGAAAGGCTACAACAGGATAGTGGTGATGAGTGAGGAAGTAGTCGTGCATCAAGTCATGTAAACAGAGGGCTTGATCCAGAGGACTACGTTGTGGACGAAAACCACCTTGAGCAACATCAAGTGCAGGCGAATGTTCATCAAGAGCAGGCATCAATGAAAATTCAAACAATTTACGCATCACCGAAGTGAGCGAAATTGGACGAAAGTTTGCAGGATCAGATACATCACCTTTCTTGTAAATGGGAAAGACCTGAGCATGACGCCACAATACAGGAGTGTACGACCATTGAGAGCAAAGCGTAAATAGCAGAGACAATACGGGTGCAATGTCAGATGCTAGAGCCTTCAGCATTTCAGCTTTCAGATGATCAGGACCAGGAGCTTTTCCATTTGGCAATCGCTTAATCAGAGAGACAATAGTATCAGCATCAAACAGATTTGTAACAGAGGGATCATTGTAGGGTAGATCCGATACATTCGGTTCAGGAGCAACAGGACGAGAAGCAGAGTTAAGGAGTGTACCATTGTATACAGATGCAAGATGTGATGCCATTGCTGTTACTGAAGCAGCTGGACCATCTGGATGGCTATAAGTAGCAGAGGATTCTTTGTTTCGCTTTATGCGTTTGATAGCAGCAGTAGCTTTAGAGAAATCCTTTTCCAGATTAGAGCAGAATGTGTTCCACGACTTTCTTTTGGCAGCCTGTATCAGAGAGCGAAAACGTCTAAGAGCAGTTTGATATATACCCCATGTTTCAACTTTGGCAAAGCCACTTGCCCATCGCCATCGACTATATGAGGCATCTCTTTCACGAGCTGCATCTTCAATTTCTTGTGTCCAGTACTTTTTCCAGTGACCAGGGCGACCAGATTTCACACCAATTGACCCGTCAAGAGATTCATACAAACAACAATTCAGAGAATCATTGAGTGCATCAATATCAGGACGAACTCCATCAGGAGCAGAGACCAAACCAGAGAGAGAATCAACCAAAGGAGCAACAGAAGATCGAAAGGATTCACGAAGCAAGCCCAATGGCCGCTTTTTCCTCAATTTCGAGAGCTTCCATTGTCGTCTAGGGGCCAAACCACCAGAGTTACCAGAACCAAGAGTATCATCGGGAGGGGGCACATACTCGAAAGTAAGTACCATCAGCCGATGATCAGAACCAAGGGACAGATCAGAGTCAACCACCAGTTGAGAATTCAACATAGCCGTCTCGCCAATGTTGGTAAGGAACAGATCAATGATGCTGTGTACCTCTTGTTGTCGCCGAAATGTTGTAAAGGTGGGTGTACCATAAGCTAGAGACTCATTGAGGATCGACAACGAAGCCTCCTCCATCCATGGTAGTAGAGAGTTACCACGGGGATTAGCAGTAGTATCACCTAGTAGAGATCCAAAGCGAGCATTGAAATCACCACAAAGGATTGTATCACTAGTTATAGGTAACGAGCGAAGGAGCGAGAGCACCTTATCCGAGGATAAGGGTGGAGGCAGATACACACAATGAACCGTAAGGGTGCCAACCTTAAGGGACAGAGTGTGAGGATTGTAAGACGGGAGTTGAGAGACAGAGAAAGGACAGGAAGGAGAGACAAAGGCTGTAACACCACCAGAACCACGGCCAAAAGCGCCAGGTACTTTTGTGCCATATAGATGGAATTGAGACCAGTCGGAAGGGAAAGAACCAGATAGAAGCCAAGTTTCAGTGACAAGGAGAACATGCGTATCCAATACATGTGAGAGGACATCGTGCACAACTGATTGACGGAGACCATTGGCATTCCAAAGGGAAAGAGAGACAGGAAAGGAGTGGACGGGGTTGTTGTTGATATGACTCTGATGTATTATAGAGCTCATTAGAGTTCCATAGCAGAGTCATTGCTGTCAGAAGCTTTTCTACGCTTGAGCAAGAATTGAGCCTTCTTGGGTTCTTTTTCAGCAAGGCGGCCCATGGCTTCGGAAACAGCTGTATCAAGTTCCTCTTGGGAAATCCATCCAGCAGAGACAAAGTATTTTCCAACACCACTGACATTGAGAGGACGAAGGAAGGAAAGAGTTTGCAGAGCACGAGTGTTTGTAAACTCGTAGATCAGTTGTTCTCGATCCGCAATAGCAAGGTTTGCATATTGGGGATCAGCAATGTGTTTGGGATCCAGAGGCTCAAAATTCTCGATGAGCTCAGCTTCGCACTTGTGCATGTAAGCAAGAAAAGTGTCGACATATTGGATATGGACCAGAACTCCAATAACACCAGAAGCAGGGAAACAAATGTCGAGAACACGACCAGTATCAACACCAACCTTACGGAGGGTAGCACGAACCTCAGAGCGCTGGATCTTACCAGATCTACCAAGGTAGACATATTGGTATCCCTGTTGGCCCTTAACAGCAGCAGATTGGAAGAGACGGCCAGCAGCAAGACGGCGTTTGGCTGTACGAACAGGATCGGGGCGTTTAGCTCCAGAGCGAGCAGCAGAGAGATAACTACCTTTAGTGGCAGTATCGGTAGCAATAGTGGTACTAGCAGTAGTAGCAGGATCTTGGGACTGTACGACCTGAGAGATGAACGGACGTTCCTGATCTACCTCAGGTGTAGGGGCTTGAGTAGTTCCACGTGATAGTTGGCCCTGTAATTCTTGAATTACCAGGTCCTTGGCCAAAAGATTTTTTTTTAGGGCTTGGTTTTCCTCTTCTAACTTGTTCATACGCTCCAAGAGGTGGTCATGTTCATGTACTTTCTCCTGAACTGAGGCAAGTTGCTGCTGAATGTGCTCAAGTAACATGGGCAACTGACTGATGTCAAAACCTTGTAGGCTTTGAGAGATTGGTGTAGTCATTTTGTGAAAAATTACTAGGATTCAAAGAAACTGGCAAGTTGTTCAACAAGACTGAAATTAATATACAATAAACTATGGATAAACGCAAGTCTACTGCTGTAATTTGGTATTGTTTGGTGAACTAGTTGTCGAGATAAACCGCTTTTATAGTGAGGAAATACTTTTTACCGGGGGAAGATGGCAAAAAGTGATGAAAAACGGAAAGAGATGGGGATGTAGCTCAGGCGAAAATTTATGGTTGTTTATTGATTACAATGAATTAGCAATGTAAAAAATATAGACTTATATGCATGCGATCTTTGGATCATTAGTTGCAAGTCCTGAGAAGCGACGTACAGCAAAAAAGCTTAAATTGATAGTTTGATCTCCATGCAGGAACAACATGCAAGTGTCCAGAAAAGGGAAAAAAGGTCCTAAACTAAAAATTAAACTGGTAAAAAAGAAGTACAGGCAGGAAAAAGGAGTAAAACAAGTGAGATAAAAGGGTAGAGAATAAGAAGCTATGGTGTATGAGACATGCAATTGAGGATACCTCGATGTTCAGACAGCAGCACAGACAAAATAAACCCACAGACCTCAGTGGCACAAAAAAAGCAAGAAAAAAAGGAGAAAACGAGGCATTTGCATATAGCAAAATGAGTAGAGAGACAAAGACCAAACGAGAAAGAAGCAGAGAAGGAGGACAAAGTAAATACAGACACTACCATAAAGGCAGCAGAAACAGAAACAATGAGAGTGGGAATGAGAGAGCAAAACGATTTCAACACCAAGGTGTCAATCAGTTATCAAAAGGCTCTGACATTTCAAGATCCTTGGTAGCAGAGAGAGTGGGGGAGACAGCATAAGCCAAAAGAGAGGCAGTTTCAGCATCATGATGCAAGAGGTAGCCAAGATAACTCAAACGTTGTTTCTTGGCTAAACGCTCTTGATCAGAGGATCGGGATGGTGGTTTAGCAGCAGCAGAGGAGGAGGAACGAGCAAGCATTTCTTCTTTCAAAATGGCATCAAATTGGGCTTGGTTGATGCGATCATACAAAAGAAAAGAACGAGCAACAGAAATACGGACAGAGCGACGGACAAAAGACAGCGAACGAAGGCAGCGAAGGTTTTCGACCTCAATGGCCTTTTGGACACGCAGATCACGAGAGAGAGAAGCAAATTTGGGATCTTTGAGATTGACTGGATCACATGGATCAAAGTCAATCAACGGAGAGCAGCCACGACCATGTAGATGCATGGCTTTGGTGAGGGTGAGTACATAGTCATTATGAACAAGGAAAGAAATCACATTCTGTACAGGATATTGAATATCCAGCACACGAGAGTTATTCAATCCTACGCCTTGAACAAGGCGACGCAGCTCAGAAAGACGACGGCGGACAGGAGTAGCATAGTACACAAATTGATAACCAGATGGTATATCACTTTGAGGAGCAAAAAGACGAGCAAGAGTAGCGGATGCCTTGGTGGCAGATGGAGGAGGAGGACGAGCAGCAGGCTTCTTCTTACGCTTTGCACCTGTATTAGATGCAACGACGGCAGCAAAAGATGGTTGATTTCCTGGAGACGAAGAGGTGGCAGAGGTAGCATTGGTGCATGTAGTTGATGCTGGTGCTGTTGTGGTGGTAGTAGTGGCAGGAGGTGGGTGGGATGATGATGGTTTGGGAGCCAGGCTAGTTGTAGTACCAGTAGCAGCTGCAAGTTGGGCTTCGAGAGCGTGACGATCAGCTTCAGACTCTGCCAGGGCTGTTTTTAACCGCTCAATTTCGACATGGGCGGTTTCCAGACGAGCTAAGCGATTTCGAACCTCAATCATAAAGGTTGAAAGTTGCTGTTCACTCGCTGGAGAGGCAGATGGAGGAGTTGTTGTTCCAAAATCAGTTGAGATGTTGATGATATCAACTGATGTTTGTGGATGATGGTGCTGAGAGGTTGGAGAGAGTGTCATTTTCTTTGTTTTCAACTGTTGAGTGAAATCTACAGCGAAAAAAGGTGGAGATCTTGAGGAACTTGGCCGTTTTTGACCTGGAGAAAGAGAGGACGCAGAGCTTAATGCCTGGTTTACTTTGGTGTCGTCTGGAATGGTGTTCTGGCTATGTATTGTATGGATTTGTAGAGTTGGAGCAATTTTTTTAATATTACTGGGCTTCAATGTATTAAAAAAATTGGTTAGCGGAAAGAAAGGTGGGGATGTAGCTCAGTTTAACGTTGATTTTTATTATATACATGAATTCAATGGGCACTCGATGGGAGCATTAGCCTAGAATTCTAGAAACAAAAGAGTAGCAGGTACAAAAAACCCTTATGAGGACACTAACGAAGAAAAAGGGAAAAAGGAAAGTGTGGTAGTTGCAGAGGATCGGCATGAGTACTGGTATTGTTGATTTGATCTGGAGGAATGACCAACGGATGGGAACTTTGATAATTACTTACCACCGTGGCATCGCACCGAGAAAGCAAAAACAACAAACGTTCATCAATGAGCAGAAAACCAGAGCGATCCAGGATCTGGATCTGGTGGGATCACAGCCAGAGGATGCACAAGGCAATCAATGGCATGCAACAAAAGGAGCAAAGCAGACCAAAAGTACGGTGGACCAGCTGAAGCTTTGTCTGGAAGACAGTTCAGAGCATGGTCAATGCGATGTACACCAGGTGGAGCAGGTGGCAAAGCATCAAAAAAGGTACGATCCAGAGCACGACATGTCAGAAAGTGATCTCGGGAGATAAACTCACCGGTAGTGCACGGACATTCTTCACGCATATTGGTGAAACGTCCAAGACGCCACCGCACAAGACGACTACGAGCAGATCGACCAATAGGCAGATACAGGATGGGATCTGGACGAGAGACAGACGGACGACAAGCACGAAGGAGAGTCTGAGCACCAGAAACAGCAGCAGCAGCAAGTTGACGATCTACTTGATCTTGCCAATACGAATCAAAGACTTCAGTAAGACCAGCAGTGGTGAATGGCGGCGGATCAGGCAGTGTTAGATACAACGGGTTTTGACAGATAAATCTGTCTAGACGAGTGTACAGTAAACCACGACGAAGCAGAACCAACAAGCAATCATCAGGGAGAGTATCAGCACGAAGGGCATAACGTGTTGTCAGAACGTTATATCGATGCTTCATGCTGGGAAGACAGGTCAAATGTTTGGCAACATTGTACCATGTACTACCAACAAACATACCAACCAATCGATTTTGCAGAGCATCAAGAGCCTTGAAGTCACGGAAAGAGAGATGAGATATAGCTAAGCCGTATTCCAGTTTGGGACGAATAAAGCTTTTATACAAACGAGCACAAAGCAACAGAGAAAAACCATTTCGATTGACACCAACCGAATTTAACAATGCCATTGTCTTGATAGCACCAGAAGCACGCAGATTGAGAATCCCAGGGGCATACAGACCTTTATATCTAAACGGCATACCAAGATACGTGAATTCCTCTACCACAGGAAGAGGTTCACCGTATAGAGACAATGGATGACGAGTAGAGGCAGTAGGAGCACAAAGTACAGCACATTTTGATGGTTTCCACCTGTAGCCAAGAGAGAACGAGTGATCTGAAGCGATATCCAACATGGTTTGCACATCAGTACGAGAGCCAAATATGGCCACATCATCAGCAAAGAGCAGGCTATTCACGCAAACACTAGGCATCCCAGGTGGTGATACCATAGTACCGCGACTGACAGCAGAACGAAGAACAGCAGGCAGAGAGTTGATGTACAGAGAGTACAAGTGAGGGCTGAGCACTGAACCCTGCAATACGCCAGTAGCAGGCGAAAAGGGAACAGAGGTGTGATTTGCAATCAACACAGACACGAGTACATCATCGAACATGTGGATGAGCAAACTGAGAACTGAACGAGGCAGAGAGGAACGAGAGAGAGCATCCCAAATCACTCGACGATCCACGGTATCATACGCTGATTTGATGTCTAGGAAAGCAACCACAGGGTAGTGGTGGTGGGTGAGGAAGTAGTCGTGCATCAAGTCATGTAAACAGAGGGCTTGATCCAGAGGACTACGCTGTGGGCGAAAGCCACCTTGAGCAACATCAAGTGCAGGCGAATGTTCATCAAGAGCAGGCATCAGAGAGAATTCGAACAATTTACGCATCACCGAAGTAAGCGAAATTGGACGAAAGTTTGCAGGATCAGATACATCACCTTTCTTGTAAATGGGAAAGACTTGAGCATGTCGCCATAGGGCTGGTGTATACGACCACTGAGAGCAGAGTGTAAAGAGCAGAGACAATACGGGTGCAATGTCAGATGCTAGAGCCTTCAGCATTTCAGCTTTCAAATGATCAGGACCAGGAGCTTTCCCATTTGGCAAACGCTTAATGAGGGAGACAAGTGTATCAGCATCAAATAGACCCAAATCAGCGGTGGACACATCATAAGGCAATCAGAGAAATTGGACGGAGCAGCAAGGCGAGACGCATTATTCAACAGGGAGCCATCATAGACAGAGGCAAGATGGGACGCCCATTTGTGTTGACAGAGGCAGTTGGACCGTCTGGATGACTGTACGTTGCAGAGCATTCCTTGTTTCTTTTAATGCGCTTGATTGCAGCAGTAGCTTTCGAAAAATCCTTTTCCAAATCAGAGCAAAACTGATTCCACGATCGACGCTTAGCAGCTTGTACAAGAGAACGAAAACGCCTGTGAGCAGCTTGATAGAGATTCCATGTTTCGACTTTGGCAAAACGGACTTGCCCACCTCCATTCTACTATACATAGTATCTCTTTCACGAGCAGCATCCTCAATTTCCTGTGTCCAGTACTTTTTCCAGTGGCCAGGACGACCAGATTTCACACCAATTGAGCTATCCAGAGATTCATACAAACATTGATTCAAAGAATCGTTGATTGCATCAATATCTGGACAAACACCAGGGGGAGCAGACACCAAACCAGAGAGAGAACCAACCAAAGGAGCAACAGAAGTTCGAAAGGATTCACGAAGCAAGCCCAAAGGCCGCTTTTTCCTCAATTTCGAGAGCTTCCATTGCCGTCTAGGGGCCAAACCACCAGAGCTACCAGAACCAAGAGTATCATCGGGAGGGGCACATACTCGAAAGTAAGTACCATCAGCCGATGATCAGAGCCAAGAGACAGATCAGATTCAACCACCAGTTGAGGATGTAACAGAGCAGCCTCGCCAATGTTTGTAAGAAACAGATCAATGATGCTATGAACCTCTTGTTGACGTCGAAAAGTTGTGAATGTGGGTGTACCAAATGCTAAAGACTCATTGAGAATGGAAAAAGAGGACTCCTCCAGCCATGGCAGTAGTGAGGTACCACGAGGATTAGCATTAGTATCACCCAGTAGAGATCCAAAGCGAGCATTGAAATCACCACAAAGGATGGTATCACTGGTTACGGGTAACGAGCGAAGAAGCGAGAGCACCTTATCCGAAGATAAGGGTGGAGGCAGATACACACAATGAACCGTAAGGGTGCCAACCTTAAGGGACAAAGTATGTGCATTGTAAGACGGAAGTTGAGAGACAGAGAAAGGACAGGAAGGAGAGACAAAGGCAGTAATGCCACCAGAACCACGGTTAAATGCACCAGGTACTTTAGAGCCATAGAGGTGGAATTGAGACCAGTTAGTAGGGAAAGAACCAGAGGTTAGCCAGGTTTCAGTGACAAGCAGTACATGAGTGTTCTGAACATGATGGAGAACATCATGTACTGTTGATTGACGTAGACCATTGGCATTCCAAAGGAGAGAGAGACTTGAAAGGAGTGGACTGGGTTGTTATTGGGAGTATGACTAGTAGCTATGTTACTCATTAGAGTTCCATAGCAGAGCCATTGCTGTCATGATCTTCCTTTTGACGCTTGAACAAGAATTTAGCCTTTTTGGGCTCCTTCTCGGCAAGACGACCGATAGCTTCAGAGACGGCTATATCTAGCTCTTCTTGAGAGATCCAGCCAGCAGAGACAAAGTATTTGCCAACGCCACTAACGTTGAGTGGACGAAGGAAAGAGAGGGTTTGCAGAGCACGGGTGTTGGTGAATTCATAGATCAATTGCTCACGCTCTTCAATGGCAAGATCAGCATATTTGGGATCAGCAATGTTGTTGGGATCCAAGGGTTGAAAGTTTTCAATGTGATCAGCTTCACATTTGCGCATACAGGCGAGAAACTCCTCTACATATTGGATGTGGAGCAAGATGCCAATGACGCCAGTGGCAGGGAAACAGATGTCTAACACACGGCCAGTATCAATACCAGCTCGGCGAAGTTGGTAACGAACCTCAGAGCGCAGGATTTTACCAGAGCGGCCTAGATACACATACTGGTATCCTTGTTGACCTTTGGTGGTGGCGGTTTGGAACATACGACCTGCAGCAAGACGTCGCTTGGTAGTACGGGCAGGGTCACGATGTTGGGCACCTTTACGGGCAGCAGATGCGTAGCTACCTTGAGTAGCATCGGGTTGGTGAATAGTAACAAGCTCTTGGGTTGGTGTTACCTGAGAGCTGGATTGAGCACCTTGATTGGTGCGGCGGGATGAGAGTTGGCCCTGTAATTTTTCAATTGCAAGGTCCTTGGCCTGTAACTGATTTTTCAATTCTCCATTTTCCTTTTCCAAAAGGTCCAGGCGAGCAAGGAGATTGTCATGTTGCTGTACTCGCTCGGTGAGAGAGACCAGTTGTTGCTGTTGTTGTTGAACAGTTTGGATGAGCTGATTCAAATCCATAGATTGCTGATTATTGTTGA